TATATACATTTATGAATGGATCCCAACCTGTAGCCACCAGAATCATGATGAGAAAGTAAGCAACACTGAAAGAGGACAAACCTGAAGAAGTCTGAAAGGTAAAGGCCTAAAGTTGTTATCCCATCCCAATCTGATGGAATGCATCCATTGTCAAAGTCTGAAGGTGAGATACTGGAGACCAAATTGCCAGTAGTCGAGTAATCCAATGAGAGGCCAACAAATCAATCAGAGTTGCAAAATGAGAGCCAATCCAACAGAACCTTGTGATGTAATGTCTATTGAGACAATTGACCTGCTACCACAGGCATCACCCATGGAAAATGGGAAGCTTGTAGGGTGATATGACAGGAATGGTCCCAAGAAAGGAGTTCCAAGATTCGAAAATGAGGAGTCCTGGACCGAGTGTCTCCTCGATGAGAAAAAAAAGACAACCATGAAATTGTCAGAGGGATGCCACTACTATGGCAATGGGCACATAGGAGCAGACTACAACAAATATTGACATCCACAACCCCAGTAAAAAATGTCAACTTAGATTGAGGAATGAGTAACTTGTGAAAATTGGAGAATCTAGGCATTGATATAGATGAGAAAGATTGATGACTGGACACCAATCTCCTGTCTTCTGAGGCCCAACTGCCAACAGGAATAAAACCTCAAAAGAACTAGCACAACTCTCTCACTACCCCCAAACCAATCAAACTCTGATAACGCTAAAACTAAGTTCCAAATCTACAGGATTTATGGGAGAAGGAAACACTACAAGTTGGATGGATAATAGTGGTGAAGATGTGAACTGAATGACTATTTCTGACTCATGGATCTATAGTGCTCCTTGATCGGTGGTTAAGGTTACCACATATCCACAAATTATCAACAGTGAGCCCTCCACAGACCCTAAAGGCATACAATAATCACAGACATCGCTGGCAGCGATCCGACCAAGCAGTGGAACTCTTGGATACAGACAGAATCTATTCTGGGTACCAGTATACCTAGGGGCTGATATTGGGGGTCGGACTCATGAATAGGGGCAGAACTATAACCTCTTGTAGGAGCCAATGAAAAATCAAGATGCCAATGACAACACGGATGAATGTAGAAGCTAACAATTGAACCAATGTGCATGCTAATAATGGTTTCAGCTCTTCATCATTGAAGTTGGTTATCCTGAGTCTTCCAACAAAGTGAAGTGAAAGGAAACAAAATGTTGAATTTCAGAGCTGTAAGTCTTTAGACTTACCCTGTCCCACCATGGGACATTGATCTTTCCATGTTAACAGCAAACTCCACCTTCGAATCCCAAAAATAAAGGAGCAGATATAAAAGTTTGCTCACAGACATTTCAGCCATCAAGTTAGGTGCAGGTTCAAAAGCAACTGGGAAAAGACCCAAAACATCACATTCTTGATGAACCAACTGAAGAAAACAAATCAAAGACTGCTTATCTCAAAGTGGCATCCTTGTTGTTTTTATATGTCATTTAAAGATGGTATTGGTTGCTGTTGATTGGAACAACATTTGGCCAGCTGAGTTTGTTTCATTAGAGCAAATCAACATTGGGATCTCTGTTGTGTCCACTATAGGGAATCGAACCCCAGATTCCAGCACTGCAAGTCTATAAACTCATCACTGCCCCACAGGGTGACTGAAAAACCAACAGACTAAAAGAAGGTGTAGGAAAAAGCAAATCTAAATTCTCTCCAGAATGTTGAGGATCACCCTCATCTGCAGCTTCAGATCCACCCAGAGGAACACCACCAAATTTCTGTCTCCATATCACTATGAATAAGATCACTGACAGTTTCAACCAAGAGTGACCACCCACCCCCCTGGATTACTGTGCAATGCTACATATTAGAGGTGAGATAGGAGACACCTGATTTTCCTCCATGCCTGAAATAATAATCCGGGAATTCACACCATAAATCAATTAGATAACACGGAGTTCAAAATATCTCCAAAAGATAATAATACTGGGAAACCCATTAGTGATGCTTTGTCAAGAAAAAGTGATAACATTATCTGAATGAGGTGCTTATTTACAGTAAGGAAGAAACCCTAGCAGTCAAGTAATAGCTACAAGTTTGAGAGGAGGGAAGTTTTGGAAGTATTGTTTATGGGCTAGACTCCTCCGAGCTATACAGAAATGTAAGTTAGAACATTATTTTCATTTTTCTATGTGGATTACATTAATGTTACAAAATAATGAAATATCAATTCACAGGTAGATACTGCCAGACTTGCACTAAAGAGTCCTCTTACATCACCAGGAACATGGATTTGGCAGCATTTTAAAAAGGTTTCCTTCATCACACCACAGGTTGACCAAACCTGAGCAAACTGGCTTGTATTGGACTTGCAATCTCAGTTGACTGTGAGAGAGGGTTTAGCACCTATAATCATATTAAAACTGATGCTCGTAACATGCTTCATGTGGATCATGTTGAGACACTGATGACCTTGTCCTCTAAACCATTAGTCCTTTAACTTTGAGAAAGCTTTCGAAATCTGGACTGCTACCAAGGACAGAAGAGGTTATGCAGCTATGTTGAAGTCCAATCTGACTGAGCAACAGAGCAGCAAATAGGGGGAAGAAGCTCAGCCTCCGAGTCACAGAAGCATCCACAATTATCCATAAACAAAGGACTGGATAGCTGCAAACACTGGCTACCAAGTCCCATAAAGAGTGTGACTCTCCAATGGATCTCTCTTTGGCTACAGGCTTTGAAACTTAGTGTTCTTCATGATTACATCAAGATTTTGTCAGAGCTTTAGTTTCTTACAGACCAGTGCATTTTTAGCACAATGTTACAGTATTGCAGCAAAGTATTACTCACTATCTTAGTCATATAAACTGTTTATGTAAAATAGTGTTGATGATTATTGCCAGTGCAATGTTACATACTAGTAGTCATTTAGTTTATATCTGGTCTTGTTCTTGTATTAATTTACAAGATAAAAAAGTTCCTGAAGATAAAAACTTCTTAGATATATATATATATATTATGTAGTATAAATGTTGATGGTATGGTTACTTTGATAACAGATGCCTCAAAGTTATCATTCTTACATTCACAGCTTAATTATACTACTACAGTACCTCAAATATAATACATTTACATTCAACGACTTCAATATACCCAATAACGTAAGTTTAAGATTTTAAATTCAGATTTCATTGTATTAGCCACAGTAGCTAAAGGATATGTGGCAAGAATGACCAAAGTTTTGGTGTGCAGGCTCGAAGTAGGCATACTGTGGTTTATAAGTTACTACTGATGGACAGGAAAAAAGAAGAACAACCAGAACCTGACTCATCCCTACATAAGCATTGCTACTGCACTGTCTGATAAAACATTTTGTCTTGTCTGTGTTCTATAAACTTGGTTCATTTTCAATATATTTAGACGATAGCCAACTTGTAAAGTGAAACCATTCAAAAATACTATTCACCACATTAACAGCACAGGTAAAACAGTAAAGGAATCTCTTTGTTAGAAATTTTTATTTCTGATCACTTCAGAAGCATTTGCTCTTCACATACAAATGTTTTCTGAATTTCAAGTAGTAGTGGTTTGATAGCATACCTGTAAAGTTAAATTCCACCTGAGAACATAACATTGCTATTTAGACTTAACAGCAAAATTGGCTTAAGTGAGAAAAAATATAACAAATATTTGGCTTTGTATAAATACAATTAAGTGGAACTAACTGGAAGTAAACAGTTATTTGTTCCAAGCATTTCTTTGATGGCTAAAATATAATTACTCTGAATATTTCAACCATTTGAAATATCATTATATATATTTACTTAGTGAACCCTAAAGGGAACATTTTATATACCAGTATCAATTATCATACATAAAATCTTAAATCACCAGTTTATGACATTTTGAAGGCTCCAATCACAGCACACTATTTTCCTTATTATAATAGTTAACACATGTCAAAATTGCACTAAAACTTACTATATAATCTAAGAATTGCATTGTGATATGCAATTTAGTTAAATATTTGTAAAATGTTTTTTTTTTCCTAAAATTATTTGTGAACAGAGTTAAAGCTAAACAATGGTTGCTACTTTAAGGGCTTATAGTGAATGAATGCAAAACAAGTTTTCACTTTGTTTGGTTAGTCTTGAAAAAAGCAGAGCAAATATACTGTTCTCAGAAAATATTCACATCATTGAAAATATGACAGAGAAACCTACACAGGGTTCATACAGACTTTACAAAAGAAAATTCCCTAACATTTTCCAGGACCCATAATACAATTTCCAATTCATATTCCATATAGAAAAAGAATTAAGGTTTTAAATAAATTGGTACACGATTTGCTAAAACACAGAAACACTAATAAAGCTGAACTTACAGGTGTGCAAACATTCTGTGATTGTAGTGGCATCAATGAAGTATCCAGCACATAGTATACAAACTATGTGTGGGTTCAGGTCTCTAATTCGGATGTTTAGTTTCTATAAAAACAAAACAAAAAACAATAATTGTAACAAAAGTTACAGCTTCTAAGTTCTTCCACCTGATATATATATATATATATTTTAAATTATGAAGCCTTTGACAACATTATTCTATTCTTATTTATTACCTTTATAAAATACCTTTTTTAAACCTTCCACTTGATGTTGAATTTCATGCAAACCTACTTGAGGACTATTTGCACCAGCTGTCTCTAACTTTGAAATGGCAGACTAGAGAGAGAAAACAGCTAGTCAACACCACCCAAAGCCAACTCCTGGGTTACTCTATTGAATAGTGGGATTTAAATATCATTCTTATAATGGTGATAACAGGGTATGAACCATGGATCCAGAGTCAGGCATGTTAATCACGAGGCCTCGCTCACCCAAAGTCTTCCAGAATATTACTGTTGACTGTAACCTAGGCTTCAGTATTTTTAGCTGAAATTTTATAATATTTTTCCAAGTAAAAACACCAAAGTTTTTGTACAACCCTATCATATTTCAATTTACAAAATCAGTTTCACCTAGAGAAAGCCATTAGCAATGTATCAGAATGAAATGCTGACAATGGTATTATTATTATTTTTTATCCAACAATGTGCATAGTTGGGTAAAAGAATGGCATGTTACCTAAAAAACAAGTTACCTGGTATCTGGAAATTTTAAGTGAATATGTATGATCATAGAGGGGGGCAATGGAAGAGAGAGAGGATGTTAAAATGTTAACCTCTTATAATATTAAAATTTGTAGTAATTTGGGTTAAATAACACAAGAATCACTAGATATAGTAAGATTGGTAAATAAAAGTAAGATGGTCAAAGTTTTAGCTTTAGTGGTCTAAATTTTACTTGAATGTTAAAATAGGCTTAGGTATACTTCAACTTACTGGTAAATCATAAAACAGGATAAATACATTGTTTTTATGTCAAACTAGTTTACTTGAACTTAGATCCATTAGTTTGAATTCAGCCTATAGTCATAGGTAGGTTATAATATAAATCAGGTTAAATAAATTTCATTATTATCATTAGGTATACCTCCAAGACTTTCCATAAAGTTATATTTCTAAGTTCTATATAATAAAAGATAAACTTTATTACTTCATTGAAAAGACAAACTAGTAATAAAAAAATATATAAATAATTGGTTCTTAATCATTAGGCTTAACAGTAACGGTGTTGACAACAAGCTACTGGTACCAGGTATTAAGTATTAATTTTCAGGCTATAAGTACAAATACAATAGTTCAGACTAGTGCACAAGTTAACCATCCACAGTTTGTTAGGTGTAATGGGTGCAATGAATGGGTTTTACTTGGGAACTCAGAAATGGCATGTACTTTTAAGGAAGCTAGTAATGAAGATGTACAATTTTTATGTACAGTTTGTAGGTTGGAGGAGAAGTTAGAGGTTATCATAATTAAAGTAGAGGCAATAGATAAAGAAAAGTATAGACTGTGGGAAATGGCAACAAGATTTCAAGAGGAGCTTAAGTTTTTACGTGCAAAGGATGCATCAGTTTTCAATGAATTTCAGGAAGTTAGAAACAGTACTATTAAGGCTATACATAGTGGATCTAATTATAATAAGCATGTTCTATCGAACAACAGATTTTAGCCTTGGCTTGTGCAGATGAGGAGCTTTTGAAGGGAAGGAAAAACAAAAATGACAGATAGGGAGAAAAGAATCAGATTATGCTACACAGGGACACAGGTGGAGGATATAACTGACAGAGCAGGAGATATAATAAAGGGGGCTAGCAGAAATGCAGTTTTTGTGGTGCATGTAGGTGTTGGGGAAAGGTAGGTGAGAGGAGCTAATTAACAAGTACAAGGGGTTGATAAAGGCATTTAAAGAAAAATGCCATAATTTAATTTTGTTATAGATACTGCCCAGAATTAACTGTGGGGATTAAGTTATAAGTAGATCACTAGGGATAAATGTAAAGCTTAGGAGTATGTAAGGATGAGCTTATTGGCTGGTTGGACTTGTGGAATCAGTTAAGTGGAAGATGGGAGTTTTCTGGAATGGATGGATTACATTTAAATAAGGCAAGGGCTATTAACTCAGCTGTAAGTAAAGTTTTAAACTTGGACTAAACAGTGGTGAGGTCCAGGAAAAACTAAATGCAAAAAGAATAACAGGCAGAGAAAAGTTTACCATAAAAAATGAGTATAGAAGTAGTTATAAGGGTAGGCTTAATTGTTACTATTGTAATGGTAGAAGTCTAAGAAATAAAACATTACTTTAGAGCACTGGTAGGAATGGAGGATTTTGATACAATGGGAATAACTGAAACATGGTTAAACACAGATGATTTTGATGACAGAAATGTCTTTGAAATATAGGGTTACAGGCTATTTAATATGTATAGAGTGTTAAAGGGGGAGGGGTTGGGTTTAGTTTAGTTTGTTAAGGATTTCATGCAAAGCTACACAAATCAAACCATGAGATAGAAAGTTTTTGGAAACTTTTCATAATGGCTTTCTTCACCAGTTAGTCAAGGAATCAACTAGAAACAATGATATGTTAGATTTATAGTTAACTTCAAATATAGAAAGGATTGAGAGAGTAGAAATTGGGAAACATCTGGGTGCAAGTGATCATCACTCTATTAGGTTCAATGTTTTACTGCATATGGATAATGATATTTTGGTTAAAAATTTTGAAAGAATGTATCAAGAATTATCAGTTGTGAATTGGGCAGCTGAGAACAATTTTTAAATGTTCAAGGTGAACATATTCCTTATAGAAAGAAGAGGGTAGCTGCAAGTAAAAAATCACACTGGCTCACAAAGAGTTTGAGATAAAATTAAAGAAAAGCATCATAAATTTAAGAAATTTAAATTGACTGGTATGACAGAAGATCAAGAAAGTTGGTGAAACAAGAAATTAGGACATCACAAAAGATATATGAGAAAAGATTGGCTGAAAATGTAAAAATTAACAGTAAGGATTTCTTTAAATACATTAACAGTAAACAAAATGTTAGAATGGGGTAGGACCCTTGAGGGATGATAAAGAAAGAAAGGCTCATATCTGATGATTATGATATGGCTGGGTTATTAAATTTTGCTTTTTCTTAAATTTCTACTGAGGAAAATTTAAGCAGTATTCCATGTCTTGAATAGTTGATAAACGGAAACAAGATCAAACACGATGACTGTATTAATTCTGAACTGGATAAGAAAAAATTAGGAAATTTGAAGAATGATAAGGCTTATGGACCAGATAATATCTCCCCAATGGTTTTGAAGGAGGTTAAAGATTGGATATGTGAACCACTTGCTACTATTTTTTTGTCAGGCTTTGAAAAGTGAGCAGGTACCATAGGATTGGAAGTTTGCTAATGTTACTCCTCATTTCAAGATAGGCAACAGAAATTGTCCCAGTAATTATAGACCCATTAGTCTTGTATCAGTTGTGGGAAAATTATTGGAATGTCGTTAAAAGATACTTTGCAAAGTCATTTAACAAAGTTTAGAATGTTATTTGATAGTCAACGTGATTTCACTAATGGAAAATCTTGCCTTACAAATCTTTTGACATTCTTTGAAAAGGTTACTGCTTATGTAGATGAGGGTAAGAGTGTAGACTTAGTGTATCAGGATTTTCAGAAAGCATTTGACAAGGTGCTACATAAAATGCTTGTAAAAAAAAAGAATCTCTATAGGAATGGGGGATAAGTTAGCAAATTGGATAGAAGAGTAGCTGGATGAAAGAAAGCAGAGGGTTGTTACAAATGGAGTTCAGTCAAAATGGATTAATGTCACAAGTGGGGCACCTCAGGGCTGTCTTAGGCCCTTTGCCCTTTTTGATTTACATCAATGCTTTTGGTGAGGGAATGTTCAATAAATTCCTTACATTTGCAGATGATATTAAGGTCTTGGGTGTTGCTAGCTGTGAAGAGGATGCT